GATCTATGTGGAAAAACATTTCAGAATCTGTAATCACATTTGAGGAGACCGGATATTTTTCTCTGCGGCTGCTATTCCAATCACATATAGGGTTGGTTTAAAAAGAATTGTAAACAGTCACAGCTGGTCTTGGCTACACTGTTTGAGTTCAGGTCTGAGTTTGTTTGGCTATGTGAGCTGAGCTTTGAGTGTGTGCATAAGAGTGTAAACAGGGCACTTTATGTCCAACTTTCATCAGCGCTTTCTATTTTATTTCCACCCAGCTTGCGGTGCATTCTGCAGCAGGCGGAATTGTTCGCATTTCCACATAATTGCCTTACACATGATTACAGTTGGTGTACAGCAGCATTACGTCGCAGGGGTTACATTGAAACCCGGACATCCACAGTTATCACAGAGAGGTTTGCTCATATGGAACAAGAGGCACTTAGACCTGATGTGCCATGGTTTTCATCATTGTTGTGCAAATTTATGCAGCAAAATGTCACCCTATCAGCTACTCCGGTTGTGATGCTAATGCAAATTACTGTAAGTAATGTACTCAGGTTAAGAAGAAACTCTCATAGAAAGGTGCTGTATGATAAACAAAACAGAAAAAAACACCATGCAACATTATCTTATACTTCGACTTCGATTTTATAATTCAACCATATTCCCCGTTTTAGCTTCCTAACACTGGCTGCCAGTACATTTAAGAATTAATTTAAAAATTTGTATTTGTTTTAAAACTCTTAATGGCCTTGCCCCTCCTTATCTGTCTGAGCTGTAACATTCTTACACACCCTCCTGTTCCCTCAGGTCAGCTGATCAGTTGCTTCTGAGGGTCCCAAAGACAAAATGCAAGCTCAGAGGGTACCGTGCTTTTTCTGTGGCAGCTCCTAAGCTATGGAATGATCTGCCTTTGAGCATAAGACAGGCCTCTTCTCTTGCTATTTTTAAGTCCCTTCTTAAGACTCATTTTTTTTTTATTTAGCTTTTGGCACAATTTGAGAGATTTCACTTTGTTTTATTCTGTTTGTATACTAATATGTATTTTATATTCAATCCTTTCTATTTTATAATTGCATTGTATTTTATGATTGTGTACAGCACTTCGGTCCTGTCCTGTCAGTGTATAAAGTGCTTCATAAATAAAGTTGGTATGGTATGGTATTATTTTATACTTTCTAAATTCATAAGTAAATTATATATAACTACTCACATAGCAGGAAGTTCATCACCTGGAATTATTTTTACACAATTTTTTCACATTGCAGTATTACAACCAGAACTTTAATGTGTTTGGGTGGAGCGTTGTGTGATTTACCATCTCAAAGAATATCTATTTTTTCTTTTCTTTACAAATTAAGAAATCATTGAAACATTGGCAAGAAGTTTATGCTAATATCTCCGGACCATTTTGAAAGAAAATCAAAGTTATATGTGATGGTCTTTAGCTCTAGAAATAAATCACAAAATATCTCATACTTAGAGTTCAGTTCTCTGCTGTTACACTATGCAAATTTGTCATTTACTCCTGAAACTCTGACTGGGGTCTTTGCCAAATGAAAAGAGTCAGGATTGTACAGTGTTTACTTCACTCCAGCAGCCTCAGAAGAAATATGGACTAAGCTGCACAGACGTCTTTAGATGCCTCAAGGTTAGACACTTTGTAAGAACTCATCTTGACAACTTTGAAAGTGCAACAGCGGATAAGCTAGATCAATGTCTCAGACACTTGATAGCAGAAAACCACGCAGTCTCATTTATTTACGATGCATTACAAGAAGTTAGACATGCGAATATAAATGGCGTAAAGGGAATTTGTAAAAGGGAATTGAGTTGTGGTATAACAGATGGCATTAGGGAAAAAAAGTCCTGAATAAATAGATTTGTGTTTCCTTAATGCAAGACACTGTCTGTTTCAATTTGCATAGCCTATATTACTAAAAGGTACATGTCTTCCAGGTGTGTGAAAAATGTAGAGTCACGTACCTTGACCGCAGTTGAAAGAAATTTGGTATGCATTGATTGAATTCTTTTTAAAACGAAACAAGAAGCAGTTCTCTTCATAACTCTTCCCTCCCATGGAATTTGTTGTGCACCAAAGCTGATGCTATTGCTCTGAATAATGACATTTTTCAAGCCGAGATCACTACATTGACTAACTTGCATTCAGAAAGGATTCCCTCGATATTTAATGACAGACGAGAGGATTTTGAATCAATTTGGAAACCCTTGATCTGGTCCGTTGGAACATAGTTCATGAGTAGTAATCTACTATACTCAGGTAGCTTGGGATGGCATAATTTGAAGTAATTACCAAGGTGATACTTTGTTGGTATAGTTATATTAGATTAGACACTTCCTTAACACATGCAAGTAAAGGATGATAATTTTAACCAGTGAAGGGTACAAATCATTTAAAGTAGTTTTATTTTAGTTTGTAAAACTGGTAGGGAAGATTTTGTAGCTGTTTGGCCTTCATTTATACAGAATAAAACCAATCTAAACCATACAGGGTGCTAAAGCAAACACTTAACAAGATGTAAGCACTCTATTGAAGGCAATAGTTTACATATTTAATATTGCTATTATGTATTACATGTCGACAGTGCTGAAATTTGTTTGTTTCTTAAAACGGTTTAAACTGTTAAGTAAATGGAGGTTGTCAAAATGCTCTGCATGTTTTGTTTTTTTTGTTCGTCTTTTATTGGGACGTATTGTCCTTTCCTTTTTTTTTTTTAGGACAAAAAAAAACATTTTTTCTGTTTTCTCCCGACCCAATATGCAACCCGTTGTTTTCCGCAAACCTGACGCCTGTACCTAGAAGCAGGATTACTGGGTTAGCAATGCAACCCTGACTTTCGAGTACCACGAAGCTGGATTGATTCTTAGCAAGCCTAGTCACTATGGCAGTGTACAGCAAACCTGTTCCAGGAAAAGCTAGCTTTCAAGATTGATCTGATTCCTAGAAAACCCTACACTCAGCAGAGCAGCTGTTTTGGAGACGACAGTGTGCCCCGATTTAATTCAGAGAGCATAAAGAACTTAAACGCATCACCACAATAAAGGAACTTGAAAAACAAAAATGTCTAAATGTCTAAAACTAAATATGTTCTTGACAAATTGTCCTTATACACCCATGACATTCACGTGTTTCTTATGTAGTTGATATGAAACAAAAAAAAAGTGATAAAACAAAAATTAGAGTGCAACTAGTGAGAAGATCCTTTGGATCATGATCCAATGACTATCTCCTCTTCACTCCCGAGGGGGTTACACCTGAGGGATGAGATGAGATTACCATGTAGTACAGTGAGTTGGATACGTAGCTGTATTTAAAGACACTAATTTGTAACTTGCACTTTTTATCATGCTTTGCTACCTAGTTTTGTATCTCGTTCATGCTGCCACTGTGCTTCAGTCTTCATTAAGACTTTTTTTTCTTCCTCATCATTTTTCTGTAAGATGAGGTTTTGTTCTTTACAGGAGCAATGTGGCACTCAGCCTTTTACGCCCATGCATAAAACGGCCCCCTTTGTTTGTTCATGCTCACAGCTTCCTGATCAGTTAAAGCAGGTGTGAGTTAGCCAGTTGATAACTAGCTAATCCTGATTGTAATTCTGCTGGATTGAGCATTGTGGTACATAGAGATAAAAAAATAAATAAATACTGTTGGCTGTTTACCATAATAAATGTAGATGATGCATTAACTGCAAACAAGGTATTTAGGTCATTTGAGACAAAAACATGCAGAAAACACCACAGAAAACAAACCAAACTGGGTAAAATATGTTTCTCTGCAGCATTATGCTGTAGATATACTTTCCCTTAGCAAGGACAAAGCAGCTAAGTGATACAAAGCAGAGTAATCGGTAAAAAAGGCTTGAAACTGAGGCAGAGCTTCACTGTAAGACAAGAATGATCAATGATCTCTCCCTCAAATCTGACATGATTTGAGCCACTACTATACTTTTAAAATGATTTAAAAATTCTGTTTCTACATAAGTAAAGTTTGCAGACATACTTCAATCACAGTAAAATGTCCTTCTGCAAAGTATCGAGTCATAGATGCTTATTAAAAAGGCACCCCACACATTTCACTTTTTTCCTGTTTTTTTTTCTTAAAAAGCAGGGCATCATTATTCTTTTGCTTCTGAATTCTGTTTGTTGTGTTGGTCTGTCATATGATATCCCAAGGAAACAGTTTTAGTTGTGAGACAAAATATCTATCATTACTGTGACATTGCAAAACATGCCTGGTTACTGGTCTGACTAACAAGTGTATATAGGAAGTAAGAAAGATTTCTTGAGAATTTAAAATATTTAATCTCTAAATATAGTCTACTTACACTGAAGTCGAACCTTTAGGTGATGACGTATGAGTAGAAACTGTGTACACTGCATGTTTGCTTAAAGAATGTGTTCATGCAAATATATAGTTATTTTTTCTTGCAGATGGTGCTTCTGTTTTTAGTTGCGAGCTCTGCATGCCAGATTGTGTGCTTGAGCATTTCAAGCTTCAGAGGCTATATGTATTCTTGCAGCAGAATTTGAGATCTGTGGGTTATTATAGAAAAATGAAAGGATCTGCAAACGAAAAAAAGGAGAAAAGGGCTGGAGAAGAATCCTGAAGCTGCTGCAGAGTGATTAAGGACTATGCTTTTTCTATCAGTAGGGAGCCAAATTATTCACACAGCAGGGAAAACAAGAAATGCTGCTTAAACATGTACATCCACCTAAATATCCATAAGCACTGTGGAGGGCAGATTAAACATTTAGAAGAAAAGTCTTACTAATGCAGTCCGGGTTACCTGGTGAGTTAATTAGTGTAGAAGCGGAGCAATGCTGGGAAGCAGCAAGGCCACAACAATTTCCAAAGTCACATCATAAAGCAATTCTTTATTTTTCCTCTTTCAGATACAACTTCTGTTTATATTCTGTACAGCACTGAAGGCACACAAAACCCAAAGATAAAATAGAACAGAAGTATGTACAAAATATACAGAATAAATAAGTCAATCTAGTTAAGATAGAAAAGCTACAGGGTGTGCTTACATGAGCTGTTTCTGAAAACAGGAACATAAATCTGGTCCTTTAAGTCTCTTTTTTTCTCTTTTCTTTTTTTTCAAAATGTTCCTGGATGTTGTTTAATGGTTTCAAAAGAAAATAATGGCATCGGTCTCACACACATACAAAAAGCACGTGAAATGAGCACGTATCGGTGGCTCAATTCTGGCAGAAATTAAAACTAAACCATTTCAGCAGGACTCCTGTTGATTGTCATGCACCATCTTATGGCGTTTGAATAGTGCAATGCGTTTTTTACAAGTTGTGTTGGTACTGTACTCCACTCTGACTGATCTGTTCAGCTCTTATAAAAATAAAGTTCCTCTGACTGCAGCTCTGCAGCGTGTTGGATCAATCATCTGTCAGGAGGACAGCAGTGTAACCATGCTCCTATCCCTGTTTTTCAATGTACTTGGCTGGATGAATTGCTGACTCTACGGCACAACAAGCATTCTGGTTCCAGCCTTAAAGCTGCTCTCGGGGGGAAGGGGGTTGACAGGGGGTGTAATCAGGTCACGGCCAGAATCAGGATAGACTGATTAAGCGGAATTCGGGTCAAGCACTGATTGAAATTCACTCGATTCTTTCCAAACATCTGCTTTATCCTGCGAGAAGGCTGAGCTGGGGGTTGTGCTGGATCAATTCACTTGGCTACTGAAGGAGCATGAAAATTTAATCACATGTAAAAAGCTGATTGAGGGGATTTCACCGTAGGTTTTAACCCAGGCCTGCTCTGCAGACGGCGACGGCTTCGTCCTTGTTTGATTTAGATGAAAATATTGACTAGAGATGCACCAACCAGTTGGCCAGAGATTGTAACTGGAGGAGCTCTATACTTGATATAGAATGTACAAACACAGGTAAGGGGAAAGAAAAATTCTGATGAATTTTTAATTTACCAAATCCATCATAAGCACCGCCAACAGGAGTTACTTTGATGCACTTTAAAGATAAACCAAAAAAAAAAATTTATTTTATAATTTTTCTTTATATTGGATTCAAACTTGCTCCTCTGTTGTCCTCCGTTTTATGGCCCCTGTTTTAAAATAAATAAAACACAAATTAAAATGTCCAACAAATCGTAACTCATAAATACATCTACTAGCGCCATTTATTTGGATTCACCAAGAAGTTCACTAAAAGATTGAAAAAGGGATTTCATGCAAATTCCATCCTTTCCTGTTGGATTCACAACTATTACCTCTTGTTTTTCTTTCCTTTGAAAGTACAAATCGTAAATCAGCCCAAATTTGACACAAAGTACAAAAACAAAAGATACTGGTGTCAGCAAATAAAGGTTTGATTGATTCATTTCTAAAATATTTCACTATTAACCAGCTACCTCACAAGATGCGCATAGAAAAAGTTCAAACCAGTTACATTCTGTGCTACAATAAAAAAAAAAAAATGTCCCTGTGAGTGTAGATATATATTTCTATCATATTTCTATGTTTATACATTTCACACTGTGGAAAGTACAGGAGGGCAAACAGGCCAAGGCACTTGGTTCAGATAAGATACATATTTCATTTCAGTTAAATGCAGTCTGGTGCTCCAGAACCTCCAAGTAGTCTGGCTCAGTGTGCAGGTTTGCTTTGAGCTCAAAGTACTCATTCTTGGTTTGTTCCAGCATGACCTTGCGTGGTCTTGTATACATTATTGTCTCCATGAGCTTTAACTCCTCCTGGTGCCCTGGAACCGGCATGGCGGTGGTGGGCTGTAGTTGGGGCAGGTTTTTCCTGAAGTACTCTGTTATTCCAAGCTGTTGCTGCAGCTCCTTCTCCCTCTCCAAGATGTTCCTGTACAGGGAGCTGGGAGTCCCAAGAGCAACAAACTCTGCCTGGCATTCGTCAGCTATGGCCCTGTACTTTGGGTTTCCTGTTAGGGGGGAGGTGTTCTCTTTTTCCATGATGCTCCGGCAGACGTGGTGCTTTGAATCGTCCAGGCTGTAATCAAGATCAGAGTTGTGGCCTTTGTGCTGGGAGCAGTAGGTGGGGTTCCGGCAGATCTGTACAATTGGACTGTGGGATCTGTCCTCATACAGGGATGTGGGACCTGTTCTCTGGGTAACAGTGTGATGAGTGGTCTTCTGTCCGTACATACTATAATGTAGGTGGATAGGAGAGGCGCTGCTAGTGTTTTCCCTTGCCGGGTCCTCCGCTGCCTTTTTCTTGGCCCTTCGTCGCCTCCGGTGCACCACAAAGACCACCAAGCCGGCCGAGCAGAATATGATCATGAGGACGAAGACGAGGAGACTGAGGATTAGCACTGACAGAGGAATGGTGTCGGTCAGAGAAATTCTCCAATTCTCAGGTGGCTCAAACGTGGCAGTAGCCGTTTCCTCATCACCTGGAGGCCTTGTGTGGTATGTTCCCAAACTGGGACATAGCTTTTCATGATGAAGACTTCTCAGTTCCTCCTGCATTACTTTCTTTGGGGTATGACAAAGAACAGGGCCCACCACTGTGTCTTTTCTGAGCTTCTCCAGCCATTGCTTGAGGCTAAGCAAATCGCAGCTGCAGTCCCAGGGGTTGTCCTCTAAATAGATCTGCTCCAGTGCATCAAGCTGATCCAGCACGTTGCTTACTGGCAGGTGCATTAGCAGGTTCTTCCTCAGGTTTAATTTGGTCAGGGGCACATTACGGAAGATCTGAGCTGGAAGCGAACTCAGCAGGTTGTTGTTTAGTGACAGCAGCTTTAGGTTTGGCAAGGGATTGAACGTGCCTGGGGCAATCTCCTTTAGAAGGTTGTATTCCAGGTAGAGGTACTCCAGGTTATGGAGACCCACAAACATGGTGGAGAAAAGTTTTTCTATCCTGTTTCCATTCAGATGAAGCTTTTTCAAGCTGCTAAGGCTGAGAAATGTTTCATTATCTATATAGTCAATTCGGTTGTTTGCCAGGTTAAGTAATTCCAAACTATCATATGTGACAAAATCATATTTCAAGAGTTTCTGGATCATGTTCCCTGTCATGACCAGTTTAGTTGGGCTTTGCTGAAGTATTCCGATATCAGACACCTTCTGAATTCCTCGGTCCTGACAGTGCATCAAGAAGCCAGCCACTGGGTGAGTGTGGCATGAACAATGCTCCACACAAGGATTTTCAGGAATATGGGATGGTTGCAATTTAGGAATCTGAGTCACTTGGGATGATGGCGTAACAACTAAATCCAAAGACGGTGGTCCCTCAATGGGAAGGTCTTTATGGAACGGGCACAAAACATCCCGTTTGACTTTGGCCAGAATGGTTCCCTTCAGGTGTTGTGGTGAGCTACAAATAACATCGCTGATGACTGACTGGGCCCTCATATTTTCCATCCATGTTTTTAAATGGAGAATATCACAATCACAGATCCAGTTGTTGTCCTCCAGAAGTAGCTCCATGATCCTCCCAATATGCTCCAGAAAGCCTACATATGGCAGGGTTTGGAGCTTGTTGCCCCGTAGATCCAGGTGGGTGAGAGGCACAAAACGGAAGATGTTGCTGGGTAAAAACTCAATGGAATTGTCATTGAGGATGAGGACTTTGAGGCGAATAAGTTTGTTGAAGGCCCCCGGTTCGATGATCCGAATGAAATTTGTGTCGGCTTGAAGAAACTCTAAGTTTACCAGACCCTGAAAAGTGTCCTCTTTCAGGGTGACGAGAAAATTGCTATTTATGTGGAGCTTTTTCAGCGAACCAAGAGTGCTAAAGACCCCTGGCTCCAGCTCTTGTATGCTATTACCCCCGATGTGCAGAGAAAGGGCGCCCCTAAGCCCTTCCATTTCCTCGACTCGCAGCTCAACTAAGTCATTTTTGTAAAGGTTCAGATGGAAGGAGACGCCTGATGGGATTTGGATTTGTGAGATTTTGCTGATGTTTCTCTGCTCACAGTTAAGATGAAGGACACCATCCTTTGCCTCACAGGAACACAGAGAGTCACACGACTCACTGATGGAGGATGATGCCTTTGAGGGATGGATATCTTGGGTTTGAGCCGCAGAGAGAAAAAAGGCGATGAAAATGATACAGGGCTGCATTCTGAATCGGGACATCTGTGAAGACAGGAAGGGGATAGAAAAAAAGATTTTGAGTACATATGCTTAAAAGAATGTATACACTTGGTAATTAATACACAATTTATTTTTAGATGCAATACTCTCAGTTTTAGTGAGACATGGAAATCACATGATTTCCATGTGTAAAAAAAACAGTAATGTGAACATGCCTTTATGAGATAATTATATGCATGAAGGGAACGCAAGTTGTTTTACATTCAAGCCATTCTTGTCCTGCAACTGACTTAACATTAAAGAAAAGCCTATATATATATATATATATATATATAAATAAATATACAAGCATCCATTATTCTTAATTCCTTACATTGAGTAAAAACACATTTACACATTACTGATTGCACATTTGAATGTGCAATCAGTAATGTGTCCCCTAGTACATAAGATCTTGTGCAGTATTTGGTTCTCTTTAAAAGGATTGTCTTTAAAGAAACCAATCTATATACATTACCTTTCAAAAACATGGCTTTCTTTTGAACTGCTTACATTTTATATTTTAATCACAAACTTTAATGTGTTTATTAGGATTCTATGTGATGGTCAACCCAAAGCTAGTACGTCTCTTAAAATTCTACCTTACAGGTTGTCTTTTTTTTTTAAGAATTGTGACATATTTCAAATCAGTTTCTATAAATTAGATTCAATTGAAGCTTTGGAAATAAACCAAAGTCACACATTTTAAAAGAACCTGGTGTAATTCATTTTCATTGACCATTTACTTAGTCAAAAAAAATGCATTTATACCATTGAACCACAGATTAAACTTATGTTATATGCAATACAAACTTAATTTAAGTGGTTCTTCCAAAGTTTTCCAGTGAATCCCTCATTCTGATCAAGCATTTGGCAGCAGTAAAAAGAAACTCCCTCTTTAGTTTCCTCTTTTACCTTCTTGTTGACTTAAAACATTTAAAATACCTGAAAGTATTATTTCAAGCTCAGTTTTTCATATAAATCCTAAATTAACCTTGACAATCTCTGGAAAACCAAAATACAAAAATTTAAATGCTTTACAATCTAAAATCTAAGGTCATAAATGATGCTTCCTAAAGCAAGATGTTTTGTCTTGACACCTGGGTGGATGTTTTGCTATGTCTCATCTATTGTTTTCTAATACTAACTATTTAGAACACATAGTTTACAGTGCTCTTAGGTGGTGTGTAGGTTTGGAATGCTATTTTCCAACCTTTGCGAAAATGTCTTAAACTTTAACCTGATTGGTGCATTCCTTGGTGTGCATGGTGACATTTCGTCTTGTATTTGCTCATTGGGGGAACAAGACAACTGGTTGGACTGCATTTTATTCATGATGTTCGGAGAAAAAGAACAAAAAAAGACCTTCACACCCCACTTCTGAGAGTTTTACATTCAATGGCCAACATCCCAATTATGTCTTTATGTTGGTTTATCAAAATTAACTTAAAATACATTGAAATTTAAGGCTTGATTCCACAAGGTTTGAATTAAAGTCCTGTAAATATACCTGGTTATAAGCCTCCTAATGTCTATCTAAAAAGCCAGAGACTTTGTGCGGCATTGGGCTTCATCTTTAGAGTCCAGTGTGTGAATATGCATGCTTTATTTTACCAAAAGACAAACCCTTTGACCATGTGAGAAAAGAAACAGGGATAGTCTTTTTCCACTGACTCAGTGTGGGATACAGCTTCTTTTAAAAAAATGACTCTCGTTTGACTGAATTCTCTGCCCTTTATCATACTGACTCATCAAGCTTAAGACTTTCTTGGTGTGATTCATACAATGTAAAAGTCGCTTCCTTCTATGTCAAAGCAACATTTATGACAACCACTCCATATGACTGATTTAGATTTCTGGTTAACCCCCTAAAAAAGCATGCCATCAACACATCAGGGTGAATTTTTAGAGGCTGTCTGATGTCTTGATCTCACAAGCTGACAGTGCTGCCCACTCAAAATACCACCGGGCTTCTATTAAGAAGTTTTCATCTTTTTTCTCTGTTAGATTCAGACTGACTGACTAAGAAAAAAGCAAAATCTGACTTCTCAGGAGAGCAGAATCAGCACTTGATCAAAATCTATTACACTCCCAGGGGACCAGTGGGGTAGTGTTGACTTTTTCCTAAGATCAAGCAAGACCAGGCATTCCATGTTAAGGAACAGACTTTTCAGAGATAGGATGCTGAAATATGACAGCTCTTCTCAGTAATGAATGTGATTATCATGTAAAAAAGCTAGAATGGGCAAGCCCGGCTCAGCTGATGCAGCCTCGGTTTGTTGGCGAATGAATCCTCTGACTCATGACTCAGCTGCGATACTCAGCCCTTTATTTGAATTAAGTTCGGGAGAATACTTCCGCCCAGTTGAGTCGATGAGGCGTGGGCACACTCTGACTGGGAATTTGGCCTACAGCAGATACAGAGTATGTGTGAGTTTGCACGACTGGGAACGTGGCCTCAAAGTTAAGATGTAAATCCCTGTTGCAAAACACCACGCATATTCCTTTAAACTCTCACTACAAACAGAAGACCTCTCAGAGAACATTTCACCTCTTTCCAGCAATTTCTCTCTTCTTCAACATGGATTGCACACTTTTTTTGCTTTGATAAGCCTTTGTGTGGTCAGGTGAAAAATTGAATAAAACCAAATCTTTTCTATAAGGTATTCAGAGATAAACAGTAAGGTCACTGTCAGCAAATCACGCATATCTGATTAACTCACTTATCTCAACCAACCTGAAAATCATTGCAGTTTGTGAGTTGGAGATTATTTAAAACAGTTTATAAAGAAGAAGGATGATTAAATCCCAAATCCTTTCCAAAGTTCCAATTAGTTGTTATAAATGAGACTATTTGTCTGCACGAAGTGTGTCTCAAAACAAATGAACTAATAATATCTCCTTCCTCTCCAAAAAAAAAAAAAAGAAACCCAGACAAATCTACACCAGAATAGTTAGTTGTGTGTTCTTCCCTCCAGGGACATTCTGTGCACAGACTCACCATGACAAAATAAGACACGGACAGTGTGGAAATTTTCACTAAGTCATTACAACACTCGTAGAAAACAAAGAATTTGCACATACAGTATGACAAAAGACAGTGAAGAGAATAATTCCCTCTTTCCAGCCGCATGTGACGTTTTCTTTAGGATGTTTTTCCTACTTACTATCATTAACAAAGTTTTTTACATTCCAGAGTTTTCCAGAGTAACATTTACAGTTTTGTCTTTTGTAGCACGTTTTTTTAGCAAGTGTAAATTACTGTACTTTTATATTACTCACCTAAATTGGTGGATGCATACCTTTTGCTGAGAATACACCAATGATCATGTTAGGTTTATTTAATTACTGAATGTGAAAAATTTATAACTTATTGTATGTTCATAATGAAACTTAACCTTCTCTTCTTGATCTAAAAACTGCAAATACGAAGGTAACTTATTTTTGTTATTATACTAATCAAATACAAGCACTAAGAAACAAAGCTACCAAACCGATGGGAGGACAACTGTCAAATCAACAGAAAGGCAGACAGTTGAACAGATAACATACGGACCGTAGGCGAGAGAAACTAACATATGGACAGATGGCCAAATGCAAAACCAAAATGAAAATAAACTGCCAAACAAATATAACAAAATGATAGCTGATATGAAAGACACATACAAATGGACATCCGTACGGACAATCTAACCGCGATATCAATGGATAAAGGGTTAAAATGAACAGACCAACAAAAAGGACAGCTAGACATGATGAAAACAAATGAATGAACCAATGAAGAAAAATAATTTGAAGTAAAATCATGCTTTAGCATTTGAAAGGTATGTAAAAAGACTAATAAGCAAATATTTCTCTGCCTATTTTCTTCCTTTATGTTCGTTCCGACAAGATAAATTCTTTCAAGTTTGATATTTCTTTTAAAATCCTTTCAGTATTTCTGACTTAGCAACTGTGTGATTTTCTGTTGCCTCCAGATGCTAATATTTCTGAACCATCCATCCAACTTCTTCTGTTTATCCAGCAGGGTCAGCTGGTGCTCATCTCACGCAGTCTATGGGCGAAAGGCAGGGTACACCCTGGACATGTAGCCAGTGTATCGCAGGGCAACAGAGAGACATACAATCACGCAAACACTCTGTCACATAATGGCAATTCAGAGAAACCAATTAACCTAACAGTCATGTTGTTGGACTCTGGGAGGAAGACAGATTACCCACACATGCATTGGGAGAACATACAAACTCCATGCAGAAAGACTCTAGGCTGGGACTCAATCCCACGTCATCTTGCTGCAAGCAACAGTGCTTCAGACGGTACCACCAATGAAAATGTAATTAGTCCAACTCCTTATTTATGAATGACTATTTAATGTCAATCATTGGGACAGGGAATGTAAATGAGGGACAAAATATCTTCTTTCTTATTGGTTATAAACTTGAACTTGTTTAAGAATCTCTATGCCTTAAGCAATCATCACTGTGCCTTCCTGGCTTTAAGGACAATCCAAATGGGAAAAAAAAGGGTATTAACTTATGTTATCTGCATGACGGCAATGCTAACGGGAGGTATTGGAGGCAGTAACCTACCACTCTGTCTTCTGGATTTCAAACAGACTTCTTTAACTGATCCATTTTTCAGGCAATCAATGTTGCATGTGACTCCTCTGTGACGGCCGGAGGAGATGAAACATTTTTTCCGGTGCTGCTCTTGTATTGCTCTCCTATGTACAGATTCAAATGTGCTTCTCTCACTGCTCAGACAATTCAATTAGGTATCTAGTGAGGCCCTGTGAGATCTCTGCTCTTCTCACCGTCCAACATCAAAAGCAGAGTGAAGCAGAGGTGGGTCGGACCACAGAGAAAGAGTTGAGAAGAAAAGAAAAGGTGCTAATAGAATATTTATCAAACATAGAGCCCCCCAACTGCGTTAACACAGATAACAGGGTCTGCCCACTTGAAAACCCAGAAATAGACTGTTCACACTTCATTTCAGCCAGCTGT